TCTCTGTCTCTCTGTCTCTCTGTCTCTCTGTCTCTCTCTCTCTCTCTCTCTCTCTCTCTCTCTCTCTCTCTCTCTCTCTCTCTGTCCTTTTCTCCGTCGTGCTCGGTATCTCTACTCTGCACCGCTGATCTGGGCCCTTCCACGAGCGCTTAATCGCTTTGTTTCCGCTCGGAAGGACCGGACAGTTGCGGAAGCTCCTCTGCCCCTTAACCCCTTTATCCCCTTGGCTAGAGAGCAAACAATCCCTCCTCTGCCGCCGGTTGCAGATGGAGGCGATCGCCGACGAGTTCAGAGTCAGTGTTATCAATTTTTGTTAGTCTTATTCAGGTATCGTATTACGTCCCAATAACCTCGGGGACAGCCTATAAATGATTCATGATTTCGCTTCCGGTTCTATATCGATAATTGCACTCGTGAAGGGGGGGGCGGGGGAGCCTATTCGCAATCAGAGAATTCGGAATTAGTGATAATGGTAACGGTAGCAACGGGGATCATTTCTCCATGGCCTGTTTACGCGTTATTGGCTTAGCAACAGCTGTTTGACATTGAAGATCGGCGAGTGCGTGGACAGAGCCGGTGGAGCAACAGAGACGGAGACAGCGTGAAACACGAGAGAGAACGAAAGATATGAGAAACAAGAGAGAAACGAAGAGGTCTCTCGCCTAAAGCAGCTGTCCACGGGCAACCGCGCGCATCTGTGTTATTTTGATCAACATTATTTCGCGCTGCGTCCACTCGAGGCCCTGTGGTCCGCAAGATTATTCTATCTGCCGAGCAGTTCGCAGTTCAGATATGATCGAAGCGGCTAGGGTGCGTGACTTCTTCGCTGACAGAGACCCACCAAGGAAGAGAGTGTCGAAGGAAGCGAGAGAGGGTCCTCAAGGTGTAGAGATAGAGCGAATAAATATCCGACGTTCCAATTTTCGAGCGTCTGATAGCGAGAACGAGAGAGTAAAAGAAAGAGAGAATAATGACGGGAGGCAGTAATAGCCCAGGGACCGTTGGAATACGGACGATGGTGTGAGATGCTCGTGGCGCCCGGGCGTCCCGACGTCCATCGATCACTTTTCGCCGCTCTTGCTCTCGCCAGCGAGAGGGACGATGCGACGCCGATTGTTCCCTCTTCGCCTCGAATGCAATTGATGCCAGCCAGAGTAGCTGCCGGGTAGAAGCAGCGTCGTTGGCGTCGATGGTGGCGCTCGCTACGAGCCACCTTCACCTTCTCTTTCGCGTCTTCTCTCTCGTTCGTTTGATCTTCCAGATTTTCCCAGGCCCCCATAAATTGGCAGCCTGGACTAGGAACACGGACGACAGCGAAGACCGAAGAGGAAAGAAACGAGTGAAAGAGTGTGTGCTCGAGAGAGAGAGAGAGAGAGAGAGAGAGAGAGAGAGAGAGAGAGAGAGAGAGCGCGCGCGCGCGAAAAAAAGAGCGCGAGAGAACGGGCGGGCCCACGGCGTCGTCAACCATGCGTGGAGGAGGACGTCGACCTCGCGCTCGACGCCGGAGGCCGAGGAGCCACTGTACCCGTGCGCGCGCACGCACACGCACACTCCGAACTCACTATAGAGCCGCTCTACGTGCCTCTATGGACAGATAGACACTAGAGAGGGTTAGAGACACTTCTTCCCCTTCCACTTGGTCTGCTGTGTTGTTCGTTTATTTATTTACAAGCGGAGCTCGGGGCCTCGGTAAGTCCCTGAGACTCGCGGCACAGCGAGACCACTATACATTGGGGGGCCTCGGCTCTGTGTGTACGTTACATTGGTATCCCGTCGCTCTAGTCGATGAACTCTACAGTCTCCTTGGTCTTTTCAAGTCCCGGGAGTGGGAGAGCCCGTTGGGTTTCCCGCGCTTTTTCGCCGTTACAGAGACAGCGACCGAGGAGCAAAGAGAATGATGGGCGTTAAAAGGGCTCCATTGGGTCCTACCTCCGAGAGACTCTACCCACTCTCCCTACACTACCCACGTACGTGCATGTGTACATGCCTCTCCTGGTTTCTATATATCTCTTTCCCTTTGCTTGGCTACTCTGCTGAATCACCCGGTACGTTAACAGCAGCATTCCAACGGCATTCTAATTTTAGCCGTGCGTATCTCCGCGCTCACTCGCCTCTTCCATGGGCTACGCCACCATGCCCCCTCTCCCTCGCTCGCCGAGCAGGGTCGTTTTGTTTTGCTATTTCTTTTGTTTCTCTCCTAGAGACAGCTCTCTTTTTTGCGCCTATCCCATCGCGAGGATGCAGCTTGTGCAGTCTCCTCATTCTTCGGGTGTTCCTTTTTATCCCTAGCTTTTAGCTTCGCTCTTCATCGCGCTCGCACTCTCCCAAGTGCTGGTAGTTGTGCGACAATGCTGACGATAATGATAGGTATGGCACGATCGTGTTGGAGCCAGAGAAGCGAACAGGGAGAGGTTCGTTTCCCCCTGTGCATTGGGCGGCAAACGCACTCTTTTACCAGTGAATGAGATGTTTTGCATTCGCAGACGCTGAGAAACGCCGTCACCACCGTTGCTTTTGCCACCGCTCCTTCTACCCGTCTCCTTTGGCTTCTCTGCTCTGCTCCCCCCCTCCTACTCCGCCGTCTTCTTCTTCGTCGCACTCTCAACCTCCATCCTATGCATCCGTGTGTCTCTCTACATCCAGACCACAAACTCATCACGCGTCTCGCATGTTGCGCTAAATCGGAACGTCGTGGCCTGCCTGCCCGAGATAAAGTCATTGAAATGGACGGGGTCCAGGTCTAAACAGCTCAAAGCATAACTAATCATCCTGCTACCGTTTCCTCCGTTCTATCTGTCTAGTCTTACAAGATGTTTTGTCTAGCACGTTCTCATTTGATTTACTTCAAATACACGCGGGGTTATTTTCTCTCTCGTGGAAAATCCAAGGGGCCTTATTAGTGTCTAGGCAAAGACGACGAAGTTGATGACGGTGTCGATGACGATACGTCGATAATGAGATTAATGGCTACGGAAAGCTTTATCCTTATTTTTCAATTACACGTAACAGCACGAGTGAACGGACGTGCATTGGATTTAGGGCACGGGTAAGTGAGGGAGGGGGGGAGAGAAAAAAGTAAAATGATGAAAGAATCACCCAGTATAAACATAGGTATGAAAAACATGTTTTCCGTGTCCTATGATATACGGCATGAGGGGGGCACGCGTTCGATGCGTGTCTGAAGATGAGATTTTGGTCGACATCAATTTTTTTTTCTTCAAAAACGTTTTTTTTTTTTCCAAAATCTTATTTTATTCTTTTACTTTGGTTCCTTAACACGCAAATTCAACTGCGACAACGTGATTAGATTTATAAGCGGGATGCGACCAGCAGCACCGCTATCGATGCCCAATATTACTGTTGCGTTGCTAGTGTTATCAGCACATACGATAGGGACTACTTACTGTTATGTATTACGGACTTGACAAAATAAGTACATAAGAGCCCAGACGCGTCACGCCGCGTAAACAACTTGCGACTCGGAGCCAGAGGCGAATTTATTTAAATTCGTGCGACCCAACGAAACGAGACACGAGGCGATAGAACGATAGAGCGAGATAGAGAGAGGAGCGTGCCAAAAAGAAAGAGAGGAATACAAGAGAAATGTAAAATATTCATGTCGGGAGACAGTATGCCGCTAGTCTTCTTGCGACACTTTCCCTCCATGGGGAGTTTACATGTTCTATTTATTAATGGCTTGTGTATGTCTATTTCCACAAATCAATCATGATTTTCGACATACTGAATAAGTTTCCCTGAGTATTTGATGACTTGGAATATTCTAGGAAGAATTTGGGAATGTTCTTTATCTGCCAAGAAATTCTTATCTGCAGCTGTTTAAATATTATGGTAGTTAAACATGTTAATTTGAAATTTGTATTCTTTTATTGGAAAGAGGGGAAGCTAGTGATATGAGTGACAATGCGAAATGGTACAAAATACTGAATGGCGCCAAAGTGATGTTCAATAAGCTACGGTTTAATATTATATCGAAGCGTATTAGGTAATAAGGAATAGAATCAATCATTAAAGTTAATAGAATTTGCAATGGCGCGTACAAAGTTCACGTAATACAAATACGAAGTCCCACGTAGATAATGTTATTATCCAACAATTTCCTATGTAAGAGTGTTTTAATGGCTGACTACGTTTATTATTAATGATCAGATAAAGTAAAAAGAGATACGGATATGTAATTGGAGTTATATTTTCTTCAAACTTTTAGTTATTCAACCCCTCGCTACTCTAATTGCGTCACGCGTCCTCCCCTGTTTTACCATCTCTCTATGGTTGTGCGTCTTGCCTTCCATAGTCTGTTTTTCTAAGTTATGTACTTTACTCTGTCTCTGACGTCTTACTATCGACTATTCTCCCAAGTTTTAGTTCCTTGTTTTTCTTACACATGTTCTTGCGAAATTTAGTCCCTCACTCTTCTTTAGAGTTTTTCTATTTACAGCTTCTTCATGACTAGCGTCTCTTAGGATTTTTAGGCATTTCCATCAAAGCAATAGTGTAGTAGCAGCAGTAATAATAGTAGGACGTAGTGTAGTGTAGGATAGAGAGGTATTGTAATATCCTATATTAGTAGTTTAAACCAATAAAGTCTCCCTGGACGCTTACCTTGAATAATTTCTTAAGCCTCCGGTAGCCGCGATGTAATCGCGACACGTACTGCTTGTTGGAATCCAGTTTGAATGATTAAAGCCACAGTGGATGGAATGAAAACAAACTTGTAACTCTCAAAATATGATCTCTTTTCAATAGATGTTGTGTACTGGTGCTAGTGTTGTGTGAACTGTGTATACTGATCGTTTTCTTTCTCGGTTTTGCGAAAAGATTAATTTTTTAAAAGTGTCTTGTTTAGGATAAATGTGTCTAAAGTTGAGGATATGCGTATATATACATATATACACATATATATTGTATATATACGTTTATGTGTCTTGCGTGTACTGTGTAGTCTTTGCGTCTCGGACGAGAGAGAGCGTACCGAGAATTGAAAACACGTCCGTGGCCGTTGAGAGCCGTTCGCTTACTAAATTTCGAGGGGAACGAATCGGAACAGCTAACCCGCGCTCTATCCCCACCATGATACGCATGACCTCCCACCTTATAGACAACTGACCCCCGCCACAAACTTTTACATCCCTACTCCCGCACAAGAGCCCGAGAGTGGGTATAGAGTATCCCCACTTCCAGGGGTAATAATACCGTTGCGCGGGAAGACTGCTGGCGGGAAACTCCCAACAGCTCTGGAGACTCGATTCGAAAATTCATCGTGACGCTGTAGATAACCGGGTTCTTCGGAAGAGGGGTGCATGTTTCATGGGGATAAGAAGGGGCCCCAACATCTCTTGAACTCAGTGCGCCTGTCCATAGTGGGGATGAACGAGCGGACTTCACGACAGTGGGGGAGCGCCGTAAGCAAGAGTGGGGCAGCGCTAACTTACGTTACGTCAGACAAGAGGGGGTGACTAGATACGAAAGTGGGGATGAAAGGCGCCAGAAAATGATCCCCACTGCTCTCGGATGAGATTGCAGGGAGTTCACTGGCGCACACGCGCGCTCTCTCGCTGGCCGTTGCTTCGCGCTGTTTGTTTGTTTATAGAGGCTGGTGCGTTCTGGGAAATACCGGCACCGCGCGAGTAACGGACTCGCCGCCGCCGAGACATTGCATTCCCACTCGGTTACTCCATCCGGTCGGTTCCTCTATATTCTTGCGCGATGCAGATAGAAAAAAAGTATACAAAGGAAAGAGGATAAAGACAGATGAAAAGCAAACCGGAATAAGTCAATTCCCTGAATTCGTATCTCTTTACTGTTATATCCATTGTATTGATTCGTTTATCTCATTTTCTCCCTCTATGACTGATCGGCCACTCCGACAATTCATAGAGACCCAAAACTTACGTTATCGTTATCTTATTTCATATTTTACGTTTACTTCCTGATTTTCTGTCCTTGGAATCTCTGCTCGAGATTACGTGCGATGGTGAGAGTACCTTCGTGGTCAATATCCGCTGCCCTCCCTTTCTGTCGGACGTACGTGATGTATGAGGGATGCGACCTGGATATTCGAGCGGTGCCTCCTGACGCGAATCCACGTGTCCCCCTTCAACTATTTATTTCATTATCCATTGGATGTCTTGTTTACGCCCTCTGCTTCTAAGGTACCTCGGCTTCTTTTCGCCCCATAACAATTGCCTTCGAAATCCAACCATACAAAGTCTCTCTGCCTCTCTTCGTCACAATGTGTAAGCATTTGCGTGCGGCAAACGGCTCGAGTCGTCGGGACGCCCGGCTTTCACTTGTTCCCATATTTTTCAATGCTCCTACCACTCTTGTTACTGCTGGCATAAATTCACCCGCGATTTGCCAACACCTGCTCTATCCTTGGCTCTCTAACGAGCAGCCATTCTGACAAGCTCTGTTTTACATTAGTCAATAATTGGAAAGAGCCAAAGCGATACAAGCTCGTCACAAGGACCTTCCACCTACGACCTCTTAATGTTATCATTTCCTAATCTCTTTTGCCAAACATCCAATTCTACCCTCCGATAACAAGTCCAACGGAAATACACACAAACATATATACGTATATCCGCTTAAGGTTCAGCCATTAGTTTCACATCTATTTTCAATCTTACGTCTGATTTTCCTTCTATTCCAACTCCTTCTCTGCTTCTTCTTCTTCTTGACGAACTTTCGTCATCCTTGTTATTAGCGCCGACTACGGGGGGCTTCCGGGACAAACAAGTCGCTCGCCGTTCGTCGCGTCGTTCAACCGATCAGGACAAACACGAAGACACACACATCAGGATAATATTTTCCGAGGGGCAATTAGCGGGCGCAAAATATGTTTGCGAAGATGTCCAGCCGAAAGCAAAACGTCTTGGCAGTTTAGATTACCGAAACGTCTGCCTCTGCCGTACAAGTAATGTATATACTGGCATATGTGGATTTCATATTATTTATTTAGCTACATCGTATTTATCATCAATACGCACGATATAACATTCAGGCTCTGCAAATCAACTTTATTCCTTTCAAAAATCCCATTAGTCTTGCGCGTGCGTTAAGTGCCGTGATAAAAAAAAAAGTTTCTGTCATTATCAGCCATTGGTCAGTTAAGTCGGAAGGAATTGTTTTGCGAGATACGCGGGGATTGGAAATATTATCACGAGACTCTCAACCGAATGAACTTTGATCAAATTTTTTTATCGTTCGAAATTCTCACGAGTTCATGAATGTAAAATCATATGCTTAGTATCCGATGGTTTATAGTATTTTTTTTTTTTTTTTTTTCCATAAAATTTTACGGACTTACTACAAACTTACGTGATCTCTCGCGTCAATGTATGACATCCGGTCGTACATTTTGGTTCGCGTCTATTCTGTTATATTGTCTACCTTGTGTCGTTTTCTCCGATTGGCTTGTCTTACTTTTATTTTCTGACCTGGCTCTTATCAGCTTGTCGGTACTACCTTCAGTCTATATCTACATACTACGTGACCGACAATTATATGTGCGTGTAAGCAGTATCTAAGCACGTGGCGTAAAGGCGGCTTCTCGGCGTACGAGGGAGATGGAAATAATAAATATATATATTCAAGAAGAATCTGAATTTACCCATCCGAATAAGATGGGTGAAATGGAGGCCGTCTCTCTCTGACTTACTATTGGTTATACAACGTGTTAGGCTCGCCCGTTCTGGCTACTAGCTTGGCTGCTAACTTGGTTTGCCTGCTTGCTTACTCACTCGCTAGCTACCTAGTAGCTACTCGAATGCGGAAGCGCATATTTAGCACACCCGGTATATATAAACCGATGTCTATACAACGGCCAGTGTGACGTGGCATTGACGTCCAGTTTTATGACAATTCATTGGTTAATGACATTCTGCTGATTTTATTCTTCGAATATTATGGTGATATCTTGAATCTGTTTAACCTTCGAATAGGTTAAGTACTACCCCAATAAAAAATAATTTTCTATGTCCTGAATATCGTTTGCCCGGTATTCAGGGTTACTCATAATTTGCTTGTTTTGAACTTCGAGTCGGAGCTGCATTGCTGTACGAGTAGTTCAAGATAAAATATAGGTCGATAATAATTTCAAAAAAAAAAATTTCGAAAAAAACAATTTCGAAAAAAAAAACGGTCCGTGGTATATCGTGCTAACCAAAAATGTCGGCGTTGAGAAAAGTGAGGTATTAAAATTTTTTTTTTTAAATTTTGACACCACCATACGTCTACACCTTTTTTCCTCAATGATAATAGACCATGCGTGGAAACGAGGGCAGTGGACGCTCGAACGAACCGGTTATTACGAAGAAATGATAAAAGAGGAAAACGTGCACGAGTAAAATAACAAAGCGTAAAAGAGACAGATGTGTTACCAGTTGAAATAGAAGAGTTTGAAATGGTAGCTGCGTGGTATGTTATGTTTGCTCACGCAATTAGTTCGCACTTAGGGACTTCCTTTGACAGTGGAAGAAAACGACAAACCAAGTGACCGAGCGACGCACATACGTCATGGCGGTTGACCCGTCCTGACGCAAATGCTCGCCTTGCTCGCAAACATTTTTATTCCTTTCTCTTTTCATTTAGATTTTCGCAAACTTTCCTATTGCGCTTAACGTTGCGTTACGTATTATTTTTCGTCTCACGTGAACCGGCCTCATGCCGCCTGTCACTTGCACGGCAGTTGAGCATAGAAACGCTCCTTATCATCTTGATTGAGAGTTGCGCAAAATTGTGTAATGAATCGTACCACGGAATAAACGAGGAACAATATGTTTATTATGTTTATTATAATAGATGGTATCCGCGCATTCACAAGATATAGAATCTGAGACGCCTGGCGTCGTCGTGCAATCGGCTACTCATGCTGTCGATAATGGCTGACCTTTGTTTTCATTCATTAAAGCCAGATATACATTAGACAATGCCTGCCAATATATATATATATATATATATATATACATATACATATTATACATACATGCATCGCGGTATTCGTGGCTTAGAGAGACGTCCGACGTCTCGTTTGCCTGTATCTCTTTCCGTTTCCTTCGTTATCCACGTAATCATTCTTCATCCATATGTAGCTGCTTAGCTCTTATCGTTAATTATCGGGCGTATAATTAATTTGGTCAATCAAGAGGAAGTTACTCGTGTTTTTTGGCGTCTAGTTCAAAATTTCATTTGTTTAACCTGTTTACATCTTTAGCCGCTTAATGTGATAAATTTTATTCTCTCTCTCTCTCTCTCTCTCTCTCTCTCTCCCTCTCACTCTCTCGTTCTCTTATGTAAATAATATATATTACGTTATTCTGTGGAAACAGTTGGAATTTCCAATAGATAATTCTCAAGACCTGTCAGAATAATGCATTTGCGCCGTAACACACTTACCTATATTCCAGCATTACGTAATAAGCAAGGACCACACTCCACGTGTAATGTAATAACGCATTACAAAAGGGACCGATTACAAAGTAGATAGAACGTTTACGTTATCGTGAGAAATTTGTTTTTATTCGATCGATCGATCGATCGATTCGTCGATCGCTCGAGAATACGTGAGGAGGGATTTAAAAGAAAAGAAAAGAAAAAATTGTATACACGTGTCGCAATAACACCCAAGTATCTTCTGGTGTTATGAGATCAGTTTACCAGTCGTTACGTTTGTTAGTCTTTCTATTAAGAAAGGAAACGCCTGGAATTGCTATTGGCGATCGCGAAGCAATATGGAATTGCGAAAACAAGCGGGTATACGTTGCTGTATTAATGCAGTCGACTACTGGGCTATACGATTGTATATTTACAAAGAACAGGACCAATGACGTATTACAGGCTCATGCTGTTAATTGTTAACACGTGACGCAAATGCCAACGCACTTCCAATGAGCAGATACGAACGTGTATAGGTTGTATCGATATTTATCAGGGTTTATCGATATATTTATCAAGTGTTTCGAGGACGCGTCAAACTTACCGCGACGAAATGAATCGCATAGGTAACGTGAATCATTGCCCTTCGTTATGAAAAAGTTTGC